TCATATTTTATACTTTGGGCGAATCATTAAGCAGGTGCTTAGCTATAAATTTTAATTGAAATTGGAATTTAGCGGAAATATATTTTAAGATATTGGAATTAGTTTTTGAAAAACTTCGCAAAATTGGAAGAAAAGCTTCTCAGAACAATGTGGTGATATGTCTTTACTAAGCAGATCCTAAGATTGAGGGTCTTTTCTTTATGATTGAACTTAGTTAAACTCCACCTGTTCTTCGTCAAATTATTTCCATAGACCTCAAAAATCTGACAATCGATTTAATTCTATTGAATTCAAATTTCCTTCATAACAGCCTCAATTCAGTTACGGCACAAAATATTTAAATCCTAATTATGAATCGTGTTTGTAAAAGTCTGATAGGTTATTAATTCGATTGACCATTGGCAATTATTATGGTTGCGATAATGATAGGCTTAAGCGAATGAATAAAATTAATGCTGATTAATTTCGATGAATTAAATTTATGGGTGATAATTGTAATGATATTAAATTTACACATTATTTTCTGAAAGTGTGAGAGTTTCATGGATGCTATAGCAGTGCTCTGAGGCCAACTGTTGATTGAAAATTTGAGAAAAAATTTCAAAATTATCTGTTTAATTATGATGAGCTAATGCATTCATCTGTTGTCTAAAAAAATCAATTCTATTAAAACCTGCCTTCCAAATTTTAAATTTGGAGATTTTAAAGCAAACTAGAACAATCTCTCGACATTTAAAAAAGTTCAAACGCCAAAAAAAAATAATTCAGCCCAAATTTAAAATAATATCGATTCAGCACCCTCAAACATGATGATTAAAAACAAATTTACAATCTCCCTCCATTCAAAATTCACTATAATTATTTTAATATTGATTTTCAAACATCGGAAGTGCAAATTTGTTTTTCAGCACAATGACAAAAAATAAAAAATGCATCAAAACTTGAAAACAAAAAAAAAAACAATTTTTGTTGATTTTGATGTTGTTGTGCTTATCGAGGTCGAATTATTTATTTATAGCTTCCATAATTTTCCGAACAAACAATATAAAATAAATAAAATAATTTTCTAAAAAAATATAGAAATAAATAAAATTGTAAAATTGTGCCTAAAACTGCAAGGTGTGTTGTATTTGGTTCAGGGTTGTTGACTTTGTGATGGATTTTTTGAGGGATTCAGGGTTTGCGTCAAAGAATTGTTAAGGCCAGGAATGTGACTGGAGTTCAATGAATGATCGAGAAGTTATGGGATATTGGGGGGGGGGGGGGGGGGGGAGTGTGTTGAGCAAAGCAAATGTACCAGGCTAAGTTCTCAAACTCATCATTCACCAACTTCCACTTCTTTCCTTCGGATACTAAAAATATCCTTTATGCAGTCGATAAAGAGCAGAAAAAAAGGAAAAACTTTTATTCATTTTACGATCATCACATTGAAATAATAATAAAGTCATATTTTAGCGCTACTGCCTTCATTATATCCTGACTATCCGATGAGGTCACAAAAACTTATTTACCACTTTTTCCACACTAGTATACTTTAATGACTGTAGGAATGAATAGTGAGTTGTTTGGTGCCGTACACTTATTTTTTATTATGCAAGGAACAGAAAAAAAAAGAATCATAAAAAGGAAGCAAAAAATGATTTTTTTATAACATTTCATGCTCCTCATGTGAGATATATTATGATAAGACATAAATGTCGTCATGAATAGCAGCAGCAATGACGATATTAATTTTTGATCAAGTACTTTTTTTGTTATTTAAATGACATTCGAGGGGACATGAATGGCGTATTCTGAATGAGTGGATGTGGATGTAGGGATTAGATGAATGCTGGATGGATGTATGCCATGATTGTTAATTATTCATAACGGCTTAAATTATTCCTCCTTTCATTTTACATATGCTTTATGTTCATGTATATGAAAATGTATTTTCTAGGATTTTTTTTTTCATTCGTAATGAGGTTCAATGGGAGGTTTTGTAGGATACAAAAGATTGTGAGTGGGTGCTCAGGCTTTTGTTTCTTATGAACTCTTTAAAATATGTTGAATTTGTGATTTTTTATAGAGTTTTTCGAGTGGATTTTGATGGAAACTTATGAATAGAGATTTGCTTTGTTTCAATAAGAATGCCTGCACTTAACGGTGAAAAAGGAATAATGCAATTTAACAAATAACAATAGCAACCCCACCCGAATTCCATAAAACCAACCATCCTCTCCTGTCTATCAGAAAAGCAATTTAAAGTTTAAAATTTAAAATTCAACTTTTTAATAAAAATTGCTTGCAAACCCCCCCCCCCCTCAATTTTACCAACAAAAATTTCTATTAGGAGTCCAATCTAAAAACTTCCCATTTAGCATCAAAATTACCCAATTCCTTTCCGTCCTCAACACATATTCAACATATTTTTAAAACAAAACCATGTCAGAATATTTCTTCCTTTCCACTTTTAACAAAAAAAAAAGGGTATTTAAAAGCATACATATTTAACAATGAAATGAAAATAATAAGCATACACATTGTTGAGAATGAGAACAAGAAGAGATTGAAAGATATTTCTAGGAAAATATTTTTGTGCTGTAGAGAGCAGCTATAGAATAATTTTTTTTAGTAAACTTGTACACATGTTCGCAAGAACCTTTTTTTAATTACATGATGATAAAAATTATGTACACATCTCGTCTTATGTAAATTGTGGAGAATTGAGAGGAAGAAAAAATCTCGAAAATGAAATTGATATTAAATGCAGGCAATCCTTGTGGATGTTTGTGGGGTTGAAGATGACGTTTAAGCAAGGGATGATGTTAAAATGGGTGGCTTGAAGTTTGAGCAAGGAACAAGGAGAGAACAAGGAGAGAAAATTATTTCCTTACTTCCTAGACCAGTGTTGTCCAAACTGTGTGCCGTGGCTGAAAAAAGTTTGAACCACACTGAACTAGGCTAACCTCGAACTAGCTCTTGACTGAACCTCAATATAACCTTTAGAATTCCAACCTCAATATTCAGCTTTTTGGTTACTGTATTAACTATTCAATGCGTCAATAAGCTGTAATTACTTACTTATTTACTTCTTTGGCTAGGACGCACGTGGGCCCATTGCCGCATTCAGAATTCGTCTAAAGCTGGCTCTATTCTTAGACAACTTCTGCCAGTTTCTAATTTCTAGCACATTTGCATCCTTGCTTACACAGCCATTTCATTAATGCCTTTATGGAGTGCCTCATTAGCATTTTATAAGACACTCTTCAAACTGGCATTGGATCTAATGGTTATTCGAACATAGTTTCAAGTAAATTTTCTAAAATCACCCAAAAAATCATAAAAACCAGACAGTCAAAAGTAATCTACCCCTGACAACCCAATCCTCCATTCTCAAAATCTCTATAAAAATATTCTCAAAAAAAAAGTCCTACACTTATTAACACAATAGTGTAAATGCTGCATACACATGGCTGTACATTCCATTGTATGTATTTGTATAAAGGTACTCATTTGCTCAATCTACATACTCCACATTATTTTCATAATATTCATTTAGATATCCTTGCATGTCTCACATTATACATAAAATGTAAGTGTGTACATATTATGTATAAATGTAATATGTAATGAGAGTAAAAAGAATCAGGCATCCATGAAAGATTTTTATGAGCACATATATGGAAGAACCTTTGCAATAAAGAGGAAGTAGCAAGCAACAGAAGAAAATCTCTGACACACAAAAAGGAAAACGTGTAGAAGCTCTTTGAAATAATTGACTGGATATAGTTAAATACATTTCATAGAGGATGTAAGCTAATGTTTATGGCACATGAAAAAATTGTAGATACACAATGAAGGTGATGCTTTAATGACACTATCCTTTAAATGAGAAAAAAAATTTTTCAAACCAGGTAGAAAAAAGGGGCAGTTTGAATAACAAGATGGGTGAGAATATAAATTGAAAATCTAGTGAAAATTTTAGAAAAAAAATAGCTTGTCGACCTTAAGATAAACGTGTCTCTGCAGTTGCTCATAGTTTTAATGATATTTTCCTAAGGATTAATTTTAATTCCATTCTATATGCTCACTATTATCATAAATGCAATCATGAGCTTAATTTAATTTCCATTCTAAAACAACGACAAAAAAAGAGGATTAAAAATTAAAAGTTAATGAGATGCAAATCATTATTATTAGTTTTAATGTTACAAAGTATAAATTTTTATTATTGCACATGGATTTAATCTCATAAAAGTATTTGTTCCAGTTCCCGGTGCGGATTGGTCGTCTTTTCAGCTTTTGTGATCTCTTTGTGGTCAGAATGAGAGAAATGAGATTGTTTAATTAATGGCACAGTTTTTACATATGTTCACTCGTGCTGGATGTTAATTATTGTGATGATGATGACCATATTTGAGGGAAAATGAGGTTTTTCTGTGACTGAATAATGATGTTTTAAGACTTATGATATTTTTTTGTTTGAGTTGGGATTATGGATGGTTAAACTTAAAATTAAAAGGTTTTGTGACCTAATGTGTGTCTTTAAATAAATATTAGCATCTAGCTCGTAGGTTGTGCTTCAAAAAACTTCATCTCGACAGCGTCTATGACTGTTTACAAAATACCTAAAGTGACACATTTCTAAACATCCATAAGCACACATTATTGATGATTCCGTCTAGAAATTTTGACTTATATAGATCACGTCAATCTACAAAAAAATTGTCTGCAACAAAAAAACTTAATTTTCTTAATGTCCAAATGCAACACAAACAAAATTCCCATAAATCAAATAGACACAAAAGTATCAAATTTCATACACAATATTTTATTTCCACATTTTTCATCTTCACCATTCCTCATTTTTTTTTTATTAAACCTAAAGAGACAAAAAAAACATAAACTTTTCAATTCTTAAATGTCAACCCAGTGAAAGAAGGAACAAAGAGAACAGAAAAAAATGAATCTTCTCCATTTCACTGACTTTTCTCGTCTTTTTTTTTTTGCCGTTTCTCTTAAAATTCAATTGATTCAATGCTGCTGCCAGAAATTTTGACGCTACTTGAAACCGACTTGGATGATGAACTGACTTTGGAGCTTGATGATTTAATAGACGTTGATGAGCTCACTGAATGTGAAACTGATTTCTGAAGATTTTCTGACACCGAGCTCGATGATGTTTCCGACACACTTTTTTGTACACTTTCTTGAACACTCTTTTCTGCTTTTTGAACTAAGCTTGACTGAACATTTCCGTCAATTCTTTGCTCGACACTTTCCGCAACGCTCTTTGCCGATCTGCTCGCAGATTCAATGACACCCGTCGCTGTTTTTTCAATGCTTGACTGGAAAAATGGGGGGAGAGTGAAAAAAAAATTATTGAGGAAATTAAATTTTCAATAAAAAAAAAGCGAGCACGAGAGAAACATGACATGGCATTCAGGAGGTAAATATATTCATGTTAGGTGTATGTGTCACCTGCATAAAGCACTTCTCTCGTCGTCTCTTTTTTTAATTTATTTAATTTATACCTCAGCTGAACTTTCCGATGAAGCATTCGAACTTCTCTGAACGTTGCCTTTATTCACTTCAACAAGATCCATTTTTTTAGTCAATATATAAATGTTCTGTTCTACAACGAAAAAAAAGAGTTTGGAGAAAATGAAAATCTGGTTGAAAATTGCTGACTGTCGACTATTAAATAAAATAAAATGAAATGAATGAGATGGAAATAGGAATGAATAAAAAAAAAAATCGTTGAATATTGAGAACCAGACGTGTGAATTTGTAATGGGCTATAGTTTGTATTTTGTAAAACTTTTGAGATTTGTCTGACTCAGTCATTTAAATCGTTTAATTGAAATTAACAATCTTGCTAGGTGTAAAGATGGAACCTAAAAAGCTGGTAAATGGAATATCACCAACTTTCTCCATGAAAATTGATTAAAATAACCCGAATTGTACAGGTCGGTTAATCGATGTCAAATCCAGCGCCAAGCTAGCATGGCCCTGGAATGAAGCAAGCTTTGATTTAAAACCAGCACCATGCCAGAGTCACATCGGTTTGGTGCCGGATTTCTGATCGATTAACCGACTTGTGCCATTCGGGTAAAAAATATTTGAAATTTGCAAGGGTCTCCCCTCTAAACTAGAGACTAGCTTTGAATTTAATATTTATTTAAAACTGTCAATCTTTATCATGTTAGACTTTATCTTACACAGTTAATTTTTTTATATTTGACCAAGCATTCAGTTGCAGTTTTCTCAACATACCCTTCCCCCCCACACCCATCCCTTCCCATCCCATATAAGTAAAATAAACCACACAATAAAAAAACCCATAAAAATATTACAAAATCGAGTCAAACACTCAAAACATCAAACTACTATAACAGAATGACAAATGATGAAAATCATATACATAAATACACATAAATTGAGAGACAGCAATCGAGAGAAGCGAGTTGAATGAATAAAAAAAATCAATAAAATAGGAAAAATTTAAATGACAAGTGAGAGAGTGAACGAATAAAAACTTTATATATATATATATATTTTTTTTTGGTGAAAGGAAAACAGCTGAAAAACGTTTGAAGCGCGTCGCACACGACTGTTTTAAAAAAAAAAATTCACATTTTTTCCAATCCCTACAATTGCCTGTCTGCTTGCTCTAACGATGACGACGATGATGTTCGTCTATTTTTTGTTCTACACTCTTTTTATTCATATTTCGAGTCTCTAGCCAGGTTGCTTTAAGAGCTGTCATAAAAATAGACACTTCACCTGCTTTTTTCTCGTTATGAATGCGCTATTATGCCTGACACTTTTCGGGAATCCCAATGGCAAATTATGAAGGGGATATTTTCAATATAGAAAGATAAATTAAATGAAAAATTGTGGTATGGAACATTTTGTGTAGAAAATAAATTACAACAGCGGTTGTAATAACATCAAATGACTCGGCATAAACTGTTTCACAATTTTTTTTTTATTTTCTTCTCACTAATGGCACTGAAAATGTATTTCCTTTGATCGCATAAACACAAAAGTGAAAGAAATGTTTTATATCAAAAAGAGAAGAATAAGAAGAAGAAGAAGGCATTAAGTAATAGACAGATGTGTTGGAATTAATAATTTTTGTGTCACTGTGTCATTTTATTTAATGAGAGTTGTTAAATGTGTTTGTGGCGATTCATTGGAGGATGTTGAAGTTCTGGGTTGAGAACATAGGTTCTCTAGATTTTAAAAACTAGAGTCTCGAGTAGCACAAGTCCGGTAATATAATATAATTCTGAGCCATGACTCGATTTAAATCCAGCACTATGCCAATCAACATTGTTAAGGAGTTTTTTAAGGTCTGCATGGCACCTTGTGTGCGAAAATTTAATACTTTTGCAAGATCCTACCTATTCCAACAGTAACATGTATTAGCTACAAACAGTCTGCAATACACTAGATAAGATGCTGAAAACGAGCTTGAAGTCATCTTAAATGAACCACAATCTACTCTAATTTTCAGGCTCTAATCAATAATAATCCAATTTGCATTTTAAAACAATCAATCAAAAATATGCCAATGAACCTCCCGCAATGCCTCCTCTCCTTTTTCAATCTACAAAAAAAAGTCCTTAATCGTCAAATCCTCTCAGAAAAATCCCAAAACACAATATTAACAATTTATCCGCATGCCCAGCAATTCAAATAAAAGCAGAAAAATTCAAAAGAAAAATCCCTCGAGGCATCATTAATACAATAATTTACATTCCTGCTTTAATACTGTTCTGCACTGTTTATTTTCATTCAATTTTTTTCTCTCACTCTGTGTTTCTATTAAGACTGTATTATTCACTTTTCTGATTTAATACATTTCCTTTAATATTCGCTTAAATTTATACGGCACAAGAATAATTCTCAGTTCTTCACGATTTCTCTTCTTCTTCATCCGCCAAATACTTCATCTTCTTATCCAATTTTATATTCATTTCTTTTTTTTTCCTTCGCATTATCTCTTCTTTAAAATAAGAAATAATAACAATAATGTTCAGATTGGAATGTGAGGAATTTCTTTCTCACGTTGAATATTTTTAGTCATGACGAACATGAATTTTTTGAAATCTTCTAGAAAAGTCTTGAAGATTAAATTTTAAATTTTGGTAAAATTTTGTTGTGACACTATATTAGCTTTAATAAACTAAGAACTTAGTTGCACTGAATCTTAAAGAATCTACTCGAAATATTTGAATAAAGCTCACATCAACCTTGACTACAAACTATCAACTAATTACAAGCTTCATAATCCACAATTTCTCATTTTCTAACACGTTTTATTCAAAAGTTGTTTAATTTTTGCCGCAAGCTATAATCATAAACAATATTATTTCAACAATACTATCAAAAAATTGTATTTAAAGTCACGTCGTGATTCGAACTGCTCGTTAAAGACTCTAAACTAAACATTTGGCGCTTTGTGATTTGAATAATTCTGTTTCTCGCGAATCTTGTTAAGATGACTGAATCTTTAAAGAGTAAATTGAATGACTAATTCAGAACTTTAATAAGATTAAAGGTTCTTAACTTGTTCTCGTTGAATTGAAATAAATTTTTTGTTTCGAGAAAAAGGATTTGTCACTGTAATTCATGTGCTTTTGAGGCTATGGATGATTATTTTGGAGGCAAAGTTAAAGTTTTGAACATTTGAAACATAGAATTGACTAATGTTATGCACTATGAAGTCATACCAGCTTGGCGCCTGATTTCTATTCGATTAACCGACCTGTGCCATTCGAGAGGCATCAATTAAATAAGGTTTGATGTGTTGTAAGCGTAAAAAAGAGGGATTTACGATTAGATGCTAAAATTTGGGCTATACAGTCTTAAGACACTCTAGAAAATAGCCTATCGAATAAGATTCAACCTCACTAGTCCCTTTGAAGACGTCTCTTTATATGCCTTGACTAGTTGTATCTCAGGGAATATCTTTCACTTAGTTCTTAGCAAATCATGACTAAGAACATCGCTAAAATACAAAAACATTTGAAATTAATACAAAAAACTTAGAATCAACCTTAAAAACCTTCAAGATACAAAATTGAATGCCGGTGAAAGTATTCAAACACAAAATACTACCAGACAGACTACAGAAACAATGTAAGAAGTTAGGAACATTGCCAAAAATTCGAGTCTAATTTAGAAATTCCAACATATCCACCTCAATTCGGTGTATGATGAAGAACAAATCTTGTAAATCTCACAGATTTAAAATTAATGAGAAAAAAATGTTTGAGCCAAAATTATTATTTAAATCTTAAGCTGACAAGTATGTCTAAGCCTTGACATAAATATTCCGACGATATTTCTAATGCGTAAATCGCTATTTAAAGGTGTTTAAAATCTTCATTTTTCACTTAAATTTCCCTCATTCCAATGCCTTTAACTTCTCATCCTGCATAAGAACTTCGGCATCATTGAAGATAATTTAAATTGCATTAAAAGTAAATTTGCTTGTATTTTGAATGATTTGTAATGGATATTTGAGTCTGTGCTGAAATAATATTCAATGCACGTCGGATTGTTTCATTTTAGAGAGAATCTTACACTTAACAAATATCACATTCCCAAAAAGTTGCAGCAATAAAGCAACAACAATAAGAGCAAATAGACATTCACAGAGCACTCAAGAAACTCACTTCAAGCTCTTCTGTTTTCCTTTCGCTTATTATATTATTTCTATTTGAATGTGTGAATAATTTCAAGAAACTTTAATTTAAAATTCAAAGATTGTTCCACAAGTAAAAATCCTGATGCTGTCTGCTCCTTCTTGCTATGTATATATTTTTTGATATGTTCTGTTACTGTATTATTATGCTATAATAACTAAACTATTTACCCAACTGTTCTGTTCAAATATTCAGCCACAACTGAGATGTGAAAGGAACAATCATCGGAATTATAAATAAAAGTTTCAAGCTATAGTAAATGTAGCATGTGTTTGTGCTATGTACAATATGAAAAATCTTTCTGAAACATTTTCTCAGCTTTTCTTAGACTTGATAGCGGGAATATATGGGAATGAAGGAGGATAGAGTGAGCAGTTTGGGAGAATTGGCACTATTTAAAGTTGATTTTGAAGATAGGGATGTGAAGTTGGATTTATTTAATTCATTAATGGGAAAATGTCAATGGGCCAACAAGCTACTGAGCAAATAATCAATGGACAAACAATCGATGGGCAAATTAACAATGGGAAAATTTCAATGGACAGTTGTCATTATCCCATTTTAAGACCTTGATTCTTCTCAACTCACTACTGAATCACTAAAACCTACAAAGGCTGATTTAAAGGCTGATTTAAGTGCTATCGATGGTATGCTGCAGCTATCACTCTTTCGGAACAATATTTCTTAAAAGATTAGTAGAAAAAAAATCTTATAACCCCCCCCCCCCCCCCCCCCCCAAATTTTTTCCTCATGCGCCTTTTACTTTCTCATTCTCAAACTTCCTCCACCAACTTATTGGCTACGAGGAAAGAAATGTTTCTTCTCCTTCATCATCATCATCATCATCTGCAACAAAAGAACGAAATCATGACGTTTATTCGCCTTTT